TTGGAAGTCCATACTGAAAGCTCACATAATAATATTTATCTCTAGGTTGGAAATTTCTAGAAAGTTATTTGGCAGAAAGAAGCCTGTATGTTACATATCTGGTGTGGGCTACAGACTGTATAGTTGAAACATATCTCTTATCATATTAATTTCCAAACATGTACAAATTATGTAAGAGAACAAGGTACAGAAAGGTGAAGTCACTTTAATACCTTGTCACTGGGTGTGAAACAAGTTTTGTCTAAATTTAGAATTTGTGTTCTTTTCAATCCTTGAAAGTACACTGGTTTCCTTGGATGAACAACTTTACTAAGTGATGTCTACTTGAAAAGATGCAGTCCATCCAGATATATTTTAAGTGATTACAAATATATAAACATATACTAAAAATGTAATGGTTTTCTAATAACTGAAATCAGATAAGATGTTGGGTTTTATGGGCTGAGAAGGCAGTGGTAGAATATTATTCCCAACATAAACAAGGCTTGGGACTTGATCCCAGAACTGCAAAAATGGAATTTCTGCATAGACTTATGAAATGTCTCCCAACCCCATAACTGCTCCACAGATACTTAGAAGAACTTACGTCACTCAGCTGTTTGGAATTGACCTGAGCTTGCAAGAGAACAGGTGAGTCCGTAACTTGAGTGAACTTGGTCTTATCTGGGTGAACTTTGTAGGTGTGCTGTGAGGGAACAAAGAGGTTTGGTTTAGTGGTGTCTGTGATGTCCAAGGTGGCCTATGAGTCAAGAATGAAGAACCTGTCTGTCCCACCCCACCCCAAAGAAACTGGGAGTTAAGCAAACATTTATTATGTTTGTTTTTAGCTGGGTTGTGGTTTGTCTGAGAGATCCTCTTCTATTACTAGGAAGAACAACCCCAGGTCTTCAGATCCCTGACAGCTCTTTACAGCAATGAGCTAGAATTAGCTCTTGAGACAAGGGATGTCAGCAGGAACAGAAGTATACTTTCTATGAAATAGATGTTGTTTCTTACAAGTGCCTTGCTGAAACATATTTGTAAAGTGGTCAACATTAAAAGTATCTTGGCCTCTAGAGGCCATGAAGGGCAACAACTCCTGGACCACTGAAAATTAAGTGGGAAGGATATGGTCTGAAGGAGGAGGGATGACTTTGTTACAAGTTCATTTTGTGAACACACATCTTTACACTGGTCCAGTTTCTTGATTGCTTCATACTCCTGGGTAATGGTCTGGGGGAAGAAGCCTTTGCCTCTGTCCTCTTCATACTCTGCTCTGTAGTTTTTCTGAGATGGGAAATAATCAGACGTAAGGATCAAATCATGGTTTTATGCCTTAAACCAACAACATCTTATTTAGAAAGTGAAAACAATAGCCTTAGGACTTACGTCACTATTTTGAGCTGTCACTTTCATACAATGTGTGTGATATGGATCCTCAAAGCTGCCTACGTAGTGTCCCAAAATATTCTTTAGGTAGGAATCTTTGTATTTAGTCTGAAAGACAAAATGTACTTCATTTATTAATCAGCGAGTTATTAATTTATCAGCGGGTTATTAAATAAGAGAGCTTTTACAAAGAACGGGTAGCAGTATGATTACTTACATCACTACTGAAGTTGTGCAGTATTGTATCAAGCTGAAACTTGGGGGTCTCACAGTAATTTATGCTCTTGGCCTTTGTCTTTTCATAGTTTTCCTTGTATAGTTTCTGCCAAAGGGGAGAGGGGAACCAGTTAAAATAGACCCTGGCACTCCCACGCTGATTATAGCACTCATATTTTCCAACATCAGACAAAAGAAGAAGAAAAGATACCATCCGCCAACTACCTTAGAAGCTGACAGTCAAATACTCGGTGTCATGGTATGATTAGCAGTGATTGTAAAACCTGAGTTTTTAACATTATCAAAAACTGAAGAAGCCCAGCATGCTACCTCTGGCTGAGTCTTGGTAGCAGGCCTATGTCTCTGAGCTGCTCTTTGTCTCCTCTCAGCACACTGACTCTCTCACTCACTGTGCCCCAGGTACACAGGGGCTATAACAGCTGGCTATTTAGCTTTGCTATTTTTTAAATAAACTTACATAAAAAGGTAAGTTGAAAAAAATACGCAATTAGGCTTTTAAAAATAAGACCCATATGAGAATTTGAAGCACACATGGGTCATTACTAACTCTTCTTCGCTGCTAGCATTTATATTTAGCCTTAAAACAACAAGTCAATCAATGACTGGTTTCAAGTGCACTGCTGATAAAGTAGGGTCACCACCTTCTCATGGTGGGTTTTCAAAAATGTCAATAATCTGATTCCTTTTCATAGTTCCTGTTTCTAGCAATAGTAGATGGGAGTCTGAGATCGTTTGTTTGGTAAATGTGCCCTTCATCGGGAAAGCAGAAGCATTTAGTGTTGAGGTTACAGCAGAGCAATTTGGACAGATGAAGTAAACCCTATCCCTTGCCCTCCCACTCCCCAGACACATACACATGTTCCCCAGCATGCTGACTTAGTTGAAGGGTAGAGAAACATTAACTAACTTATTCAGAGAGCTACACAAAAATCTTTGAATCTTGGGGAATGTTTCGTATAATCTGTCCATATAAAGCCTCAAATGAATACATATTTAGCTTGTGTTCGTTGTGTATGTGTGTATTTCATGTGTGTTTGTTGTACATGTGTGTGTGTGTACTGTGTGTGTGTGTGTGTATGTGTGTGCTTTAGTCAAATCAGAAAACTGATCTTGGACCTTCAGTCTTCTAATGCCAGGCTCTGCCTTACTTTATTTCAATTGCAATGGCTTACTTGGGTTCTTAACAATTCTCCAAGTGGAAACAGACAGGGAGCAGGCCAGCGGCCAATCTCTGAGTTCAGTGTCTGCAGATGATGGTTTCAGGTGCTAGCTCTGTTTCTGAAAGTCTCCTTTTGCCTGCTCCTTTTGCCAGCACATGTACTCTGTGCCCACAAGGAGACCCAGATGCCGGAAACTTCTAAGCAGGGAAGGACTTCCCTGACATTTGAACTTACCCCATGGGCTGCAGACAGTAAAGCATGTTGTGTTTATAGAAGCACTCGACCTTCTATGGCTAGTCAGTTCTGCTCTGAGTCCTTCTCCATAACCTTAAAACACTAGCAAAGCTACACAGAACTACATTATTGCACAAGGAGAAAGACTCCATCTCTCGTGAAGTTAAGGTTAAAAAAACATTTGTGAAGAGAGTTGACTTACATCACTAAGGACATTTCCTGCTGCCTTCAGCTGCCTGAGCAGTGGGTTCTCTGACGCAGGAAGTACGTTGTAGTCTGCTTTCCCTTTATTCTTCTCGTAGTCTTCTTTGTATTTTACCTGTGGGATGAAATAAAATAATAAAGTAACTCCACAGGCTATTTTTGTCCTCCTCTCCATCATGGCAATTATGACATGGTTCCAAAAATCAATTTCCTCTTTAGAAAAATGGCAGCTTGACATTTTATAACCACAATACCCGTAGTAACTCATAGCAGCAGTACAGAAATGGCATAAATTTCCAGGAAACCTTTTCTTTTCATTCATTTATTCATTCAAAAATATCAGAGGGAGTTGATTATGTGCCTGGCTCTGGGGAAAAAAACACAAAAAAAGAGCAACATATGGTCTCTGTCCTCGAAAAGGAGCAAGGCACATAAATATTGGGGGAAAGAAATAAACACCAATAGTGACAGCACATCATGCCCCCAATGTCTGCTCTTGTAGAACCTTCACTCAGCTTTTAACTTCCAGCTGCCATATGCCATCTTAAAGACGAGAAGCTAGGAGCATCATCAGCTCTGCTTTTATGCCTTTCCTATAGTCCTGCATTGAGCAAGCACATATTTAATATGCAGGCAGTGAAAAAGGAGCCAGATGCAATGAATGGTGGCAACCTCAGCTTTCCTCTCCTTTCCCACCTTGTAACTTTAAATTCTAACCATGGCAGAAGCATAAGTCTGGGGCTGGGAAAACTAAAGCCTCTGATAAGGAGCACGTCCACAGTGAGCAGAACAGCATGGTCTTGAGTCGGACAGTGACTGGAGAGTCTGACTTTTATTTGGGAAGTATAACCGTTGAAGTCTGAGGAATCCTAAATAATTCACTATTTTTACACACCTTACAAAACCAGGCCAATCAGCTTAGCAGACCATAACAGGTGATGCACAACCCAAACTCAGATGTGCCAATCCTACTGACCTTCTGGAGTACCACGGGGGCTACTCTATAGGTTCTATAGGCACGGGAGACCTGCACAACCTTTCTACCTTGAGGAATTATGAACTTCCTCACAAAACAAAACTGAACAGAAAGGACATCCACGAATCCTACCAGGCCACCTGCATCTGTCATATGGAAGAACTGTTCGGGCTCGCGACAATGTCATTCCTCCTCTTACAGACTAGCTCTCCCCTCCTTCAAAGGCAATAATCCAGTAGTTTTCTCTCAGCACCAATTCAATGTTACCTCTCTATTGAATCTTCCCATTGGTATAGCAGCATAGAATTGTGTGTTCTATCTTAAAATATTCCTATTACTGTCTTTTCCATCAGCTACCATCCATTTTTTTTTCCTTTTGGGGAAAATTCTTTGAAAGAGCTTAATATACTCTGATCTTCAGTGATTTCTTCTTTATTATTCAGTCATGAGCCCTCTCCGTGCAAACTCAATCAACTTGTTCTTTGGGCTGCCAATGACTCTGAATTAGCTATTATTTAGTCATGAGCCCTCTCCATGCAAACTCAATCAACTTGTTCTTTGGGCTGCCAATGACTCTGAATTAGCAAACCCAGGTAGAAACCCTTGGTACAAATGACAACTCCATCCTTCCCCCCTTTACTGGGTGTACACGCTCCTGCTACCTCTCAACTGTGCTCTGTCTCATCTGGAAGCATGCCAAGGTTCAGTCAATGGAGCTTCCACCCACCCCACTTCCTTTGTGCTATCCAGCCTCAGGACATTACTTTCTACACACTAACATTCCCCCAGTTTCATATAAAATCCCCATAAACATTCTTTGAACATCCAGACTCATACAGTAAACTGGCCGACTTGATATTTCCATCTGAGCATCTACAAGGCACCTGAAATCTAACATGTTTAAAGATGAACTCCTATTTCATTAAGAATCAACTTCTCTCTCTGTAATCTTCCCTATCTCTTTCAAGGGAAACCCCATCCAATGAGCTGCTTAGATGGAAAGTTCTCTCTCATATCTCACATCCAATCATTTAGGAAGTCACGTGTGCTCCACTTCCTAAATATTTCTCATCCCCTGCCCTGCTGGTAACCTACTCCAAAACACCACTGTCTCTTGGTTTGTTTGTTTGTTTTTGTTTTTGTGGGGGGGTTTTGAGACAGGGTTTCTCTGTGCAGCTTTGAAGGCTGTCCTGGAACTTGCTCTGTAGACTAGACTGGCCTGGAACTCAGAGATCCACCTAGCTCTGCCTCCTGAGTGCTAGGATTAAAGGCATGCGCGACCAATGCCTGGCTTGTCTTATGCTTTCTCTCCTCTGTCAGAACCAGGGCTCCGGGAGAGGCAATGATCAAATAAGTTTACTTGACCTTGAAATCTATGCTTTTTATAAAAACCATACCACTTAAAAATGTCAAAGCATAACCCACTTGTTAAAGTCACTCCACAGAGCACATAAAGATGGCCATGGACTTCTGGTCTTATTTGTGACTAGGCTTTTCACCCATCAGTAAGAACACAATGCTAGTGACAGTGTTGAGC